GCTCGAGCTTTCAACCAGTCGCCCAATTTGAATGAGTTTTTAACAAGTTGGAAATTCTTTTTATTTATAAAATTTTTATATTTGAAGTATTTAGCAACTGATTAGTGCATTTGGGAAAATACAATGTATTAAACCTCCAAGTTGTTCGCCAGTAAGGCAATTCTTGATCGAAGGATCGTCAAAAGAGGCAATGCAACAGTAAAGCAGGTATAGTGCAGTGGGCTAATGATTATTTCATCAAATCCAATTTCCCCTTTCGAAACCCTAACCCTAATTAATTTCAGCTCCAAATACAAACCTGGAGGACAAGGTTTCAAGATGGGGAATGATTGTCGCACTGGAAGGTGACTACAGAAATGGAAACCGCCCTTGAAGTTATTATTAATGCACTTAATCCCAGTTATATTTAAACTAGAAGTTTTTATTTTGAAACTTTGGTCCCTGTAGTATTTTTTTGATTTCCCAAATTTATTGTTTTTAGCATCATTATTGTTTTAGCAAATGATGTGAGCTTTGTATGGAGGGGAGAGGAGTATTATACTATTATACAGACCACTCATCTGGGATAAAAATTTATCCAACACTTACTCTCTTCTCTCTTCCTTCTTCCTTGTAATCTTCATTTCTGTTCTCATTGCTGTGATTCTACCTAAAGCTAGCTCAGGTGTTACATTAATATACTAATGTTTGAAGTGGAGAGGAATATTTGTTAAGATGAAGGGAAATATAAATAAAGAAAGAAAAAGACAAAACAAACAACAATCTTGGCATGCCAATTGAAAACATAAATTCCTGATAAAAGAAGTATTTGGATCCAACTATCCAGTAGTCGAAGGCTGAACACTCGCTTAATCAACTCTGATACTGACAAGCATGTCGTCCTTACCAAATCTAGCAGCCAACACGAGCAACAATAATGTTCACCATTCGCCCAGTCCCGGTAAAAGCTTTTCTTCATTCCTACATTATCTGCCAATTACTTCCTCTGTCCCTGCTGAGAATGCATTGGCTATACTTGAACAGGCAGAAGCGAGAAGGATCAGTTGTGGAGATGCTTGCCCTTATACCGTGCATTACTCAGAGGCGACCAATGTGATCTTGAGCTAGCTGCTCGACCTATGGGGCCCCTATATAAAGCCTGGGATTGTAAGATAACAAGAGCTGGGGACACCACCCTTCATGTAATTGTTGGTGCGGGAAAGTGGTTTGATGATCCGACTGTGGGTCCATCAGCTTACACTTCGCGTAACAATGATGGTTACACACCTCTTTGTGTGGCTGCAATGGTTGGGAACATGGAGGCAGCAAAGAATTTACTGCAACTCAACCCGGGATTGGGATCTCTTGATGATGCTGTTGGGCCATACCCGATCATAGAGGCTGTTAGGTATGGCCATAAGGAAATGGTTTTACTTTTGATTGGGGATATGGAAAGGAAGATGGAAGGCTCCCCACCAACTAAACAATCGACTGCTTCCCACTTTCTCCATCTTCTAGTAGTGGCTGGATTCTATGGTAAGATATTTTCTTGTCCTATGATTAATGCAAGTGTTTTCTTCATTTATAGATGGTAAAAATTTAAACAATTTGAAACAAAATTCTAATATCTCTTCAAGATCATGAAACTTCAGAATTCTAGCAGAGGTCTAGTTAGTTTTACTAAAGATCTTTCATATCCATGAGAAGTAACACCATTATATCAGAAATGAGCCATCTATTTTTTATCAGTTAGATTTTTGCCCTCAGTATTTAATAAAACAAAAATAACACAACAAATCAAATAGGATAAGTGTAATCCCACAATAATTATCACATTGCCACATGTTACATGAAAGCTAGTGAATGGTTGGAGAAAATGAAAAGTTCAACAATTTTCTTTCTCTTTGACCGATTTGTTCAACATGAATAGGAAGAAAAAAATGAAGTGGAACTGTTTTGATCTTGGGCTTGCAAAATATTTTCAAGATGAAGAGAATGTTAAAATATCTTTTCTTCTCCTTAGTAAAGAAGCTTTAACAAGTTGGAAAGTCTTTGCTAAATCCTTAAGCGTCTTTTTATTTATAAACTTATATTTAAAGAATTTAGCAACTGATTAAAGCTTATGAGAATATGATGTTCTAATACAATTTATGTACTTCGTAGCTCACTTTTTACCAGATTTTATAATGTCTTGTTTAATCTTCCTTGTGTAAAACAGATGTGCTGCTAGCTCTGCTTAGACGTCATCCTGGTTTGGCCCGAGCAGAGTTTTATGGTGACAATAACGAATCCCTTTTGAGCTTGCTGGCTGAAATACCTTCTGCATTTCGGAGTGGGACTCAACTAAGATTCTGGCACTGGCAGCAGTTACTTTATTCAGGTTCTATTCGTACTATATTCATGTTATCACCTGCGATAGTATTTTCTTCTCTTTATGTGCTTTCAGGAGATAGTAATGCTACACTTGTGAGAAGTCCCAAGGGACTAAACTAGTCTCCACCCCTGCCCCAGACCAATCTATATTGATTTGGGTTCCTTAGAGCTTCCTGCTGGTAGCCTGGTCTAATGTTAACCAATCAAGACAACTTTTTATGGAGCCCCAGTAATTGCTATTAGTCTTCTTTGTTGATATATAACTCATCTTTAAGTTATTTATTCTCTTATTTAGACATTCCTTTTGCAAAACTTTTATATCAGTTAAGGAACACCTTCCCCAATCTCATAAAAGAAAAAGTTTAGAGATTCTCTTGTCACTAACGAAAGAGAGTAATGGATATAACATAGGTGAAATCAGCAGGATCTCCTTCTTTGGTATCAAAATCAAGCTAGTATATAGAACTTAGGAATATTCATATAGAGAGGACAACAAGCTAGCACTACATAGACCTAATATCTTGTAGTAACATCAGTAAAATTACCATTAAAACCATCAGAACCCACAAGGTTAAATAGTTTTTAGAGTATGATGATAGCCAAATCTATAGTTTTGAATGAATAGGAATCTTTAATAGGACATCTAAATGAATAACTCAAGAAAACAAATGATAGAAAATAAAGTGAAAGCATGTACTTCTGAAAGGATTGTATGTGAGTACCTAATTACCTTGTTTTTTCTTGTGAAGTCATGCATGCAAAATTAGAGATCAGGTTGGCAGACATTGAAAAGTCTCTTGTTGTAGTCCAATCGTCAGCTACATCACCCTCGAGGCAATCACCAGAGCCTGCTAGTGGGTTAACATGGGAGTACTGTACACGTTTAGTAAACTGTTGCATCCTTGTCTGTCCAAAATGGCTTGTTACACCGATCTATAGCTGCATGAATCACGTCGGTAAGTACTTTTTTAATACTCTATGTAACATGACATGATTGGCCTCTGTCACACAAAATTAAGGGAAAATTCATTTTTTTTTTGGATAACCGTGGTGTCCGGGCCAGCTTGCGCGCACCTCAACTAATTCCACGGGATAACTCTCACCAGCAACAGGTACCGGGTAACTCTATCCACCAAGGCTTGGAAAATTCATATTTTCCCCCTAAACTTGCCCCAAAAAGTAATTTACACACTAAAATTTTACGAGCAACCCCTTACCCCATATTCTTGTCCGAAGTGGAACTATTCCTCCTTGACTGATGACATGACAAAGTGTAAATACCTTCTTTGAAGCGTTTGAAAGGCACGAAGAATGCTAAAAGTGGACTAAATTTGTCCATGTATCATTTTCCAATTGGTTGTTATACAACTAATTATACTTGACTTAGAAATTTCATTTTTTTTTTTTTTTTTTTTTTTTTNATGCTAAAAATGGACTAAATTTGTCCATGTATCATTTTCCAATTGGTTGTTATACAACTAATTATACTCGACTTAGAAATTTCATTTCTTTTTTTATTTTTTTATAAATCTTTTCCCTTTACTTTGTTTTTTCTCTTTCTCTTTCTTCCTTATCTCTAAACTCACTTGAACCTCCATTGCTACCACTACCATTACCTCCTCGTTCATGCACTCCTCTCCTCCTCCACTCTCACCACTTCATTTTGGCCATTATATCTTGTTTATTTTTTTGGTGCAACGTGGCTATTGCAAATGACATTGAGGTCATGATTGACCTTTTGAGCTCATTACAAAACTCGTAATGTAGTCTATTATTGTAAATACTTCCACATCGCTTTCTAATTGCTGAAAACAATATATTACCTTTAACAAGCAAAAAATAAATAATGTCTGAACCCCAAAATTGAGTTTCACATGCAGGCTGGTACGACTTATAGTTGTCTTACTGTCTTATATGAATTGTAGCAGCTTTTAAATTAAGGTTTTGAATTGGACTCTCAAGTTTTTGCACATTAGCATTAAAACAAAATTGTCTTATTTACTGGTAACAAATCACACGTCTACTTCTGGGATTATTTGAGTAATTGTTGGATCATTCTACTTTACAGGGATCATGATAAAGTCAATGATTCATGCAGCTCGCGAAATTTGGAAAACAACAAGTAAGTTAATATTTGTTCGCTTATTGTGACATTAGCATTTCGAAATTTAATATAGGCCTAAATCTTGTCTAGAAAAGTAATTCACACGTATTAGCACAAACTATATTGTTGATAATATCTTTAATTCCTGTTACACCTACATTTGTCATATAGTCCTCTTACCTATATAGACTAAGAATATGTTTGGCAAAACTTTCAAATTGCTTATTTTGAGAAGTACTTTACCAAATGGAGTTCCAGAAAAAGTACTTTTGATTAATAGCAGTTTGTGTTTTGCCAAAACATTTGATGAGCACCTTCATTAGTATTATGGAGGCAGTTTATATTTGGTCAGTCTTTTCAAAAGTTGATCTTTTGAGCGTCAAATTATGGAAAAGAGTGTAAAGATCCACTTTATAATTAGTATCATTTTTAAGTAGATACATGATCTGAAATTTTAATTATGAGAGACCTTAGAAAAGTTTTCCAATTCCATTTAGCTAAAATGTAAAATTTAAGATCAAAATATATATAGAGGGAGTATGAGACTTTGGCCATAGATCTGTTGTTGACAACACATGAGTTTAGATTTTGACTATACTGTTCAAATAATTTGGTAAATAGAAATTTTCCTGTAAGTATAGTTTTTCGTCCTGAAAACATTAAACACGACTTCAGCTTCTGCTTCTACAGAGAATCTGCTTTTTTGAACTTCTTTCCAACAGCAAATAGCAACTTTTATTACTACTCAAAGATGCCTTTTCAGTTTTCCCTCAGAAGTTTGGCCAAACACCTTAACCCTAAAAAATAAGCATTTTTTTTGTTGAAAAATAAGCACTTCTAATCTCCTAGAAGTTTGCCAAACATGCTATAAAGGTTGTTGAGTGCAGATCTGCCTGCTGTACTTGATTAGGTTAAGTAATGAATTGTAATTGCATGCCTTAAAAAAGCATTGGCACTTAATAGAGCTGAATGACGAATGCACTTAGACACATGACTGGGATTTTATTTTCCTTTCTCCGTAGCATGATTGGGAGTTGGACATAGAAAAAGTTATAATGTTAATAATAGTGACTTCAATAAGAGCAAAATAGTAGTATGTAGACGGGCAATGACTTCCTGTGTTTGGGAATTATTATGGTACTTTTGTGATAGAGTTGTTCCTATGGAAATCTATATACTAAGATAATTTATCATAACATGATGTACTATTTGTTAGTGCCCTATCATGTTCTAAGAAAGTGTTTTTGTTTACAGCAAGAACAATCAGACATATTAAGGATACAAAATTAATGCATGAAGAGACTCTTGATATTGTGAAACGTCTTTGCGAGGAACTTACCAAACATTATTCCTCTACGGGTGAGGATATTGAGCCAGTACTTAGAAAGGCACTTCTTTCAGCAGCAGGTTCAGGAATTTCTGAAATCATAGAAGAAATTATAGAACGTTACCCAGACGCAATCTGGTTTGTTGATTCTGAGAACCATAACTTATTTCACCTTGCAGTAATAAATCGTTATGAGAAGGTGTTTAGTCTTATATATCAGTTAAGTGTATATAAACATTTGGTAACAGCTGGTGAAGACACTTCAGGGAACAATATATTACATATGGCTGGAAAGCTAGCACCTCTTAGCCGACTCAATCTTATCTCAGGTGCGGCTTTGCAAATGCAGCGTGAATTGCAATGGTTTCAGGTATGAGTTTCACATAACTACGTTCATGCACGGTTCTTTTTTAGGTTTTGCTGGGTGTTCTTTTAAGTCGCGTTGTTGGAAGGGAAATAATTATAGCACACCTTAAAAGCCGAGAATAGTTTATAGTGGTATCATAGAGCTCATACCATAAGCTATTTTAGGAAATTAATGAATTGCCAAGAAACTTCCACCATAGTCAAATGTAGTATGACGAATGTCAGCATCCTCGGCATCTGAAAATGCTGCAAATTTGTCAAGGAAATATCAGACTATCGTAATCCATGATGAATGGTCCTTTTTAAGTAAATGGGAGTAAATATAATTGTGCATAATTTGTGATATTCGACCAATTGAAAGGAAATGTTAGGACGGGTATGTGCAAGCATATTGTCATTGAGATTAGGGTTATGAAAGGGACTAGCATCGTATCATCTTTGGACAATTGCAGGTATAGGGAAAGATGAGAAAAAACAGTTTTGTGCTCATGTCAGCTTTGATCTGTAAATTACGAATGCATTTGTGGTGATGAAGGATCAATGCTTTGCTTGTGCAAACAATGGAGGTATCCAAAATAATCAGACATTTGAAAATGGATTTTATGATAAGGATAAGAAATTGAACTTAAAAGAATATCATTAACGTATGACTGCCATTTGCGAAGTAGTTTTTCTTTCATTTTCCTTTGACATCCATTTAACCACACATCTCGATGTCAAATGTGTTTACATATGTGTATAGTATGTGGCTCAACCACACCCATTTATCAAGTCAGTTGAAGTATCTCTGTGACTACGAATTTTCTCCTTACAATAAAAGAACTTTTAGAACATTCGAATATGTAGGCCCTTAATGGATATAAACACGTAAAGTGACTTGGTGAAAAAGATGAGTCAAAAAAAAAAAAATCTTAAATTGTTCTTTTATTAAAAAATATATCATTCTTGCTTCAACAATTCCATTTATATGTGTTGGTATCTATGTTTATGTAGGAAGTGGAAAAGTTTGTTCAACCAACGCTCAGAACAAAGAGAAACTCAGATGGAAAAACTCCAAAAATGGTGTTTACTGAGGAACACAAGGAATTGGTCAAAGAAGGAGAGAAATGGATGAAAGAAACTGCAAATTCCTGTATATTTGTGGCAGCCCTAACAACAACAGTAGTATTTGCAGCAGCCATTACCGTGCCAGGTGGAAACAATCAAAACAGTGGTTTTCCGCTCTTCTCCAATGAAACGGCTTTCACGGCTTTTGCAGTTTCTGCTGCATTCTGTCTGTTCTCTTCTGTTGCCTCTGTTCTAATGTTCCTGTCTATCCTCACCTCGAGATATGCAGAGGGGGATTTCCTTAGACGTCTTCCGAAGAGATTGATTCTAGGCCTGGGTACCCTATTCATTTCAATGACATCTCTGATGATAGCATTTAGTGCTACAATTTATCTCGTTTTTGGTCAGAGAAAAGGATGGATACTCATTCCAGTGGGCATAGCAGCCCTCATTCCAGTAATCCTCTTTGAGTCCTTGCAATTTCCTCTCTTACTGGATATGTTTATGTCCACTTATGGTCCAAGCATTTTTCGCAAACAGAGCTCACGTATACTTCTCTAGCAAGGCAAAGAGGAGAAGTGCAGGTCTTGATACTGACGCTAGTGCATTTTTTATTTGTGTTGGAAGGCAATTTATGTTTGTCTTGCTTTGTTTCCTTTTATTTCCTGCCAATCCTGCTTTATTATTCATTTAAGATTGAAACAAACATCTTCATCGTTACATTTTCATTGGCTCACAGAGGAGATTGTAGCTTTCCTCTGCTTTTATTTCTATTCAGAAGGAAACTATTAATCATTGTATTTTGCCTTAATTTTGTAGCTTGCCTTTAGTATAACATTTATCACACAGATATAAAAGATGTTGAGAAAAAGTTCTGAAAGATGCTGAGGCAACATGAAAACTCAATATGTTTTTTGGTTCACTTTGATTAACGACTATTAGCTTATTAGATTTAAGAGGAGATTATGTCATATGTTAGTACTCTAATTTTGCATTTTTAGTGTTCTTCAGTGGGTTTGGAATTTTTGTTATAATTTTGCATGATAAGTGATCGTAGCAAGGAAATAAAAAACTTACAACTCACAAGAAAGATCAACGTATGTCTGTACAAAAACTTCATGTAGGTTGTGATGTTCAATTCCAGCACGAGATTGTACTAATTTACACCAAACTTCCTTTGGAGAAGGAAACCAAATACATGTCTTATTTAGGAAAGTTTTCGAATATTACGTTGTTAGAGTCGAGAATCATTCAGTATTCCACTTAAGGCTGTCCAACGGGACGTCCCGTTCCGGTCCCGTCCCGTCCCACTTAATTTTAAACGGGATGGGCCCATGTTAAACGGGATACGGGATGGCCATTTCGTCCCGTTTTTCCCGTCCCATTTCGTTCCGTCCCGCGTCCTTTTTTTTTT